ATTGGATTTGATCTTTTTTAATTAGAAATCCAAAACTCACAGTAAGATTTACAAGCAGCATAAAGCGAAAGAGAGCAGAAATAGGAACGATTGTGATTGATAACTACTTTATAAATCTATCAAATGAAATAAGTAATATATCACCTGATCATATATGGAACTATGATGAAACCAATCTCAGTGATGATCCAGGTAAAAAAAAAATATTAACAAAGCATGGATGTAAGTATCCTGAACGCATCATTAATTCTACAAAGACCTCATTCTTTGTAATGTTTTGTGGTAATGCTAATGGTGAATTGCTACCACCTTATGTTGTTTACAAAGCTGAGTCATTATGGAATACATGGATGGAACATGGGCCACCAAATCAAAAAGTGGTTGGTTTGACTCAACATGTTTTGAGGACTGGTTTTTCTCTTTACTTCTTCCTTGAGCCTTCTTAAGACTTAAGAAGGCTCAAGGAAGATGTGTCATTATAGGTGATAACGTATCTTCACATTTGCGCATTGCAGTACTGGATGCATGTCAAAGCAATAACATGGGATTTGTGGCATTACCAGCAAACTCTACACATCTCACGCAGCCATTAGATGTTGCCTACTTTAGACCTATGAAGATTAACTGGCGCAAAATATTATGTGAATGGAAGGAGAAAGGAAAAGAAAGGAGAATTGCTTCTCTTCCTAAAGATGAATTTCCTAGACTTTTAGACCGTTTAATTACCAACTTAAATGAACATGGGAATGATAGCCTTAGAGCTGGTTTTTACAAAACTGGAATTTTTCCATTAGACAAGTCTCAAGTGTTTTCACGACTACCATGTTGTAATGTAGGTTTAGACTCAACTACTGATTTAGTAAGCCAACCATTTTTAGATCATTCATTTAAGTCACTGGATGATCCCTCAGATGGTTCTAAAAAACCAAAGCGTCGTAAAGTATGTGCTGTCCCAGGTAAAACCTGGGACAGCACATACTTCAAAACATAGGTTCAACAGATATATCATCGTGTGTTATAAATGAAAATAATAGATTAAATTCAAATAATGTAGATACACCTATCAGTATTATAAGTACAATTGAGACCAACAACATTGATTTTGCTGGCCCAAGTACAAATACTGGAACTACTGAGAGTTCTAATTTAATTTTTGAAGATGTAAGTTTAGTTGTAGAAAGTCATACAGAACCTTTAGATCATTCAGCATTAGGCAAAAAGAACTTTCAAAATATTGACAAAACAAAAAATGTTTGTAAAAAGAAGAAATTATTAAATCTTGTAGAGAATTGTTATGTAATTGTTAAATGCAATGGAGAGTTAAATCCTGGACAGGTTTGTTTATTTATTTTGAGTTATTTATATTTAGCTAATCAATTAGTAAACTTTATAACTAATTAATTTAATAACCAATATTATTTAATGAAACTATTGAAAAATTTTAAAAAAACTTTTGAAATTTTTTTTTCTGCAGTTGAAAAAATTAAGAAAAAATGGAGCAGAAATTACTATTATGAAAAAAAATGGACTTAACTGGAAATGGTCACTACCAGCAGAGCAACTTTTTTTTCCCTAGTCTGAAATAGTCGATTTTATTGAGGAACCAAAGAAAATTTCAAAAAGAGGAATTTATTCATTTCCAGAACTTTTTCACTAAATTTTTTAAAACATTATTTTTGTCATTCAGAAGTTTGAACTTTGTATAGTTTTTATTCACTATGCAATCACTACATTAATTTTTAATCACAAAACTAAATTTTTTAATCACTAAATTAATTTTTTAATCACTAAACTAAATGTTTTTATCACTAAACTAAATTTAATTTAATTTAAGATGGTCTTGAAGCGGTAATTTTCAAAAAGAGACGTCAGAAAAGATTTTAAAGTTAGATTTTCCATCATGTTTCTCTAAATCGGTGATTTCTAATACTTGTGGAGATTTAGCTTCATTTTCTTGGTTGTTTTTTTCCATGTCAACAGTGAAGATGCTATTATTAGAAGCTTCATTTTCACTTTCTTCTACTACAAATGGAGTTTGTATCAAAGTACTATCTTTTGAAGAACATTGGCCGTCATTTGGGTTATCTATGTATTGAAGTATTGACCCTGCATATTTTTTAAGGTATTTAAGTTTAGCTTCCTTTAATTTTCTTTGTTAATGTCCACTTAATCTCTTCATTTTATGCACCCCACGCGGCATTGTTATACAAAATATTTAAAACTTTAAACTAAATATTAAAACAAAATTTTAAAACTTACAATTTAAGCACTAAAAACTTTTTAAATTAAATGGTATTTATTAAGCACTAAAAACAAAAAATTAAAACAATTAATAATATACGATATTGTTTCAAAATGTATCTATTACAAAGTCACTATAATTTATGCACAAATTTTATAAAATTTTCAGTAATATGTAATATGGCAAATTTTTAAAACTGTTATCATAAACAAAGAATATGTTTTCGAATGTTTTAGTTCGAATTAGATGGTTTTGATATTCTGCAATGTGATGCAGTACTAACATTGAAAAAATATACGAATAAGACTAAGAAAGCTGATAAAGGAGGGGGGCTCACCGCCCCGGGTGGTGAGCCCCCTCCCTAAAAAAAATCCTTGTAAGAAAGCTCCTTGCAAGTTAAATCCTTGGAGAGAAAGCTTCCTTTTGTTGCACTTTCAAAGAGCCTGTCAACGTAGTAGGAATTTTTCTTGTATACTTTTTCTACATTGACCAAAAAACTACGGATTTTTTGCCTGAGTTCTCCCAATGTGTCTCCAACCTCCTCAAAAGTGACTAACAGACGAGAATGAATGTAGGTTTTTAAGAAGTTCAGCTAACCAGGAACATCAGATACAAAGTAATACAAAATCCTGCTAAGTCAAAAAATTTTTGGACAAAAAACAAATAATTTAAATAAAAAAAGGGTTTTGTTAAAGTTTTTATGGTAGATTTTTGTAAAAATGCTAATAATTCTTACCATTTTATAAACAATGATGACTGACCATTGCAGTTTGACGTAGAGAAAAAAAGCGCTAAATTTTGAGTACAAACACTTTAAAATCGAACGAAAGATAAAAAAGTTATGCACTTTTAAAGATTCAAATAAAATTCAATTTCTGTTTCTATTTATGGCCGACGATAAAGTTTTGGCGCTATTGGAAATTTTGTGATACAAAATTTTCAACAGCGCCAACAAAAGTGTCAGGTATCAAATTTAAAAATATCTATTTTGCGGAAATATACAGACACAAATTTTTCCTTGTCTGAAAGAGGAAATATTAAGCTTTTTAAAGAATATTTTACAATTTTCAACACTTTTCAACAACTTTTTAAAAATGCAAATAATTACTGAAATTATGATGAAAATATTGTACTTTTCAAATTTTCATTTTAAGCTTGTTCAAAACCAAAAATATATATTATAATTTTTTTTATTTGATGACCCTCAACTCTTTTCTGATTTTCAATAAAAATCTACAATTTTCCATGCAAGAAAAAAAAATTTGTTTACAACGCCATCTAGTGTCAAAAAAATTTTTTTTTGGAGACAGAAGAAACAAAAAATATTTTCAAATACTTTTTTAACTTCAATTTTGATGATTAATGAGAACATTAAAAAGGTTTAATTGGTTATTTTGATAATTTTAACTTTTTGAATATTTTCGCCATATCTTAACTCAGTCGACCACTTTGTGGCGGTAAAGTTTACCAGCATAAATAATTTTTGTCAATATTATAAAGTATTTTCAAAAATTACCTTCAACTCAAAAACAATTTGTTTTTGACCACCATTTTATGTCTTGAGAATGTTGAAGATTCGGACAATAAATTTCTAAAAATAAATTCATAGATGTCATTTTACGATTTTAAATTTACGGGTGTAATAATTCCCAGAGTAAAATATCCGCCGGTAGCATTTTACGCCGGTTAAAAGTTTTATAACATTAACCCCAGCAGTAACGCGGATTTCGAAATTATTTCGTCGTTGTGACGACTTCCAAACAAATATTGCGCGTCTAAAAAGAAATGAAATTTTCGCGAAAACAAAACAGCAGTATATTTCGAAATAATAAATGATTTATAACATTTAATAGTTCATTAATAAACTAATTTATTTATCAATAACAACAAAAAATTCCCTATTCACATCGAAAATAACAACTTTATTAGAACTTTTAAGTAAACATAAAAATAAATTATTTAATTTAATGCCACTGTTATTCAAATTACATTTTGTTTGTTACAAAACATACTAAGCAAATATATTAACTAAATAGTTTTGTATGTATATATACAAATATACAACAATACTATGTATATAACTAATTTTTATGTAAATTATAATATAAATTATACAGTGTTATACCTAATGGAAATATAATATAAACGCGTACCTAATATATATATATATATATATATATATATATATATATATATATATATATATATATATATATATATATATATATATATATATATATATATATATATATATATATATATATATATAATATTATATATATATATATAATATTATATATATATATATATATATATATATATATATATATATATATATATATAATATTATATATATATATATATATATATATATATTATTATATATATATATATATAATATTATATATATATATATATATATATAATATTATATATATATATATATATATATATATATATAATATTATATATATATATATATATATATATATATATATATATATATATATATATATATATATATATATATATATATATATATATATTGAAAAATAAACAGTTATGAAAATATATTTCAATTACATAACTAGAAGCTATTAATATATATATATATATATATATATATATATATATATATATATATATATATATATATATATATATATATATATATATATATATATATATATATATGTATATATATCTACTATAGCATATTTATATGTGCAATTGCTCACTTTTTTTGCTTATCTAAATCAATATAGATTTTCGAGAAAAAGTAGAAGAAAATGAAGAATAATGAATGAAAAAGTTGCTGACATCATCATGCTCACCTAACTCAGCAGTATAAGATATATATATATATATATATATATATATATATATATATATATATATATATATATATATATATATATATATATGGGCATTTCCATTTCTGTGTGTGATTTTTTATTTTTCTTTATTTTAGCAATTAAAAGCTGGGACTTTATGCAATATGCATACTATTTTGATTTTCTTAAAGAACAATTATAACAAAAATATTTTTATCATATTTTAGGCTATCTGAATAAATTAAATATACACATTTTTACAATTTTATTTTTTTGAGTAATAATATCGCTAGATTTTATAAAATATACAATAACTTTAAAAACGCAATACTCTAGCTAGAAATAACTGATGACTGCCATCTCTCATCAAAAATATATTAAATAAGAGTCGTAGAAGTATAATATTACACTTGAAATACTCACAAGCAATTTATTTTCATAAAAATAACTACATGAAATTGACAAATTTGCAACATCCGTGCGTGACTTCCGTGCGTGATCACTCATAAACTGCACTTAAACAATTGCTGTGACTCTATGATTCATAGTGCAATTCTGTAACTTTCTGGAAATCTTTACTAATGTTTAAAATATTATTTAAAAAAAAAAGTATACCGGTGAAACTTATATTTTCCGAGGAAAACATTACTAATGCTTACTATTTTTTGTTTACAAAATATTTATATTGATTAGAATTAAATAAGAGTAAATTGGAGATTGCTAGTTTTATTTTTACAAAAAAACATATACGAATTTCCGTGCGTGATTTTTTGGAAATGCCCATATATATATATATATATATATATATATATATATATATATATATATATATATATATATATATATATATATATATATATATATATATATAACCCTTGGAATTAGGGTCAGCATTCGGCCTAACTGCCAATCTTAAATTGTTTGAGGTTGGCAAAAAATTGCTGCCCTTGTTTCTTTTTTTATGGTAACCCCTTTGTGTCAAATTTTTTCTAATGCTGAAAAAATTTGACACAAAGGGCCTAATGCTGACCTCTAACAGTTGGATGTCGGTAATAAATTGCAGAACACATTTTTCCTATTTCCGAGGGTTGTATATATATTTATTTATATATTTAGTAATGTCAAAAATAAAAAGCGGAAAAGCATTATCAGAAGGATATAAATCTTTATTTGGACTAGCAGAAGCATCATTTTTACAAGTTAGAGTTTAAAATTTTTTAATATTTTTACAAGTTAGAGTTTAAAATTTTTTAATATTTTCTATCAAATGTCTGTTGATTTTTTTAATCTGAAGATTTTTTTATAAGGATGATTGGCGATGTTTTATTGGATTTTTATTTCCATGTAACAAATATGATTTGGAAGTCATTTCAATTATTGGTGATGCTATAAAGAAAAAAACTCGAAAACGTTTTACAATTATAGACTGCTCTTTACTTATACAAGAAGTAAGTGGTAATTATATGAATTTATATATAAATTCATATACAGTCTAATTAACATAATTGTGCTTGCACAAATTTTTAATAAACATAAAGTTTTAAAAATTGTGAATTTTTGGATCAATTTTTCCATAAAATACTTGCAAAATAGATTAAACTAATAGTATAACAGTTATGCTAATTGTAAAATGAAAAGAAAAAAGGTTTACTGGTTGCTTCAGCCAAACATGATCAATTAGTGACATTGTTTGAATCATTTATACATTTTATAAATGTCATTAATCAGTTTCTCCCTTTAGTTATTGTTTTGGAGTTACTGGTTTAAAACCTTTCTGATGTTTCTTTTATAAAGTTTAACTTTGTTAAAAGTATTAATTTGTCAAAATAAAAGATTTTTGTTTTGGCTTTCCTAAAATTTTCATGAAAAAAGCTTATAGTCTTAGTGTACTATGTAGATGCAGTTAGTAAAAAATTTGTATTTAGAATATGTTGTACAAATAAGTACACAATAGAGAATTTTAAGATTTTAACAGAGTTTAATAAATTTCTAAAAATGTCTTAGTTAATAAAGTATTTGAATTTATTTATACCTTTAAATTTAAAAAAAATTGGATAACTTAAAAAAAAAAGAATTGTAAAATATTAATGCTCTCAAAAGATGATTGAAAACGACGTCTATAAGTTACCTTGGATTGACTTGACTTGCATTTATTTAGTTTAATAACTTTGCAAGGTATCTTATTTTACTGGTATATCCTTATAATGTCATTATCACTTGTATTGTTAACATACAATCTACAAAAAAATATTTTGTTCAGGCAATCCAGTTAACACAGTTGAATAAAAGTAAGGGAAAATCAGCAGCAGCAAAAACTCCTCAATTTATTGAAATATGTGATAAAGTCAAAGAATTAGTTGATCAAGGAGAATATATTTTACCAAAGATTTTTTCCTTGTTACTTAAATTCAAGTTTTTAATGATAAAAGAAAAGATGGTTGCAGAGAAGTCAGACATATTAAAGGTATCATACTTTTCTTAAGCATTTTTTGAAAATAAAGTTTATTATTTTCGAGTGATCTGTTTTTAATTATTAAAAATATTTTATTTATAGTTTCCTTAAAAGATTTAAAAATGTTTTTTTAATATGATTTTTGGGTTTAGCGGTTGGGAAACAAATATGTCTTATTCTTGTCACAAAAAGTTAACGTTACAAATAGCTATGAAAAAAGAAAGATTTTTTATGCATATAATTAAGCTTCTCATTTATGTGAAAAGCTTTTATTGTTTAACAATAAGGTATTATTTGTAGTTGTGTTACTATGTGCTATTACCCAGTAAACAAAGAGGCATCCATAATTGGTCAATATTTAGTATTTAGTATTTATAATTGGTTAAAAAATAGATAAAACATTTAGAAACCAATTATTGACCGAAAATAAACAGTTGATTTACATTTCAAGTCTTTTAATGTATATGTTTATTAAACATTGATTAAATATTTACAATATTGACTTATGTTAGTCAATAATGATGTTATATTATTGTAATTATGTTAGTCATATTACTTATGTACTTATTGTAAATGTTTAATTAATTTTTAATAAACATATACATTAAGAGAATTAATGCATGCATTACAAATCTTACATTTATTAAATGTTTATTAAACCTTTACAATATTGACTAACATTAATCAATATTGTAAATGTACATTAAAAGTATTGAAGCATACATTTCAAATATTTTATTATACTTTTATTAAGTGTTGGTTAAACATTTTCAATATTTATCGATAATAGTTATGTTGTAAACCTTTTGCAATGTTCAATATATGTGTATACATTAAAAGTATTAAAGCCTGTGCCATATTTTACATAGACCTGTATATATAAAGTTTGAATACTTTTAATGATTTTATTTGAATGGTTTAAACCTAGTATGCTTTAGGCATGTTAAGCTCGTTTAAAAATTGTATTACCACATTTTAATGTGTTATTGGGTTTATAATTAAAAATTTCGTTTTTTTTAATTACAAAATCCACATTGTTTGTAAAAAATAATTGCACCACAAATAATCTTGTAACACTTTAATTGCACATCATTAAAAAGGTTAAATAGGTTAAGTATTCAATAAAGTTTTTTTTAAATGTGCTATATAATAATATATTAATATACTATACAAATTATACAGTTATCTAATAATTAATTATTTTAGGAAAGAAGTTGAGGCTCTAATAATGAAATATAAAAAGCGACAATTCCTTAAAAACAGATTGACACCAAGAGCAGTTAAGGATTGAGAGACCTTTTTAATAGATTCTAAAAGGTATTTTGGTTGAAACATGACATAAAAATTATGATTGATGAAATAACAATGGATAGAAAAAGAACAAAAGTAACTAAATGTATGGACATTATGTTTTTGAAAATGCAGTCAGAAAAAAGACTAGGTGGTTCTGATATTAGCTTTAAAAAGGCTGCTGAGTGATCCGCAAAAAAAAAAAATCTAAAAAATCCTTACATAAGGTTAAATGCATTGAATCTGCTAAAAGTGAGCTAAATGATAGTACCCAAGAAGAAGAACAAAGTATAATACTGCCTAAAGGTATTCTAAAGCCTACAGGGCTACCTGCTGAAGGAGAAGAGCTTTCTGTCAACCAGCATACGGCAATCATAAGCAGTGTTATAGCTATCTCAGGAGGAGAAATAAATGAATATATTTTATCAAAATCATCATCTCTTTGAGCTGTAAATAAAGTGATAAGTTCAGAAGCTCAAAAAATTAGACAGTATATTAAAGACTTAACAAATTCCACATGTAAGCTGATATCTGTTTTGACGGAAAGTTATTTAAAGAGTATACAGATAACGTTTCAGCCACAATAGAAAGATTAGCTGTACTAGTGAAAGTAAACGGGAAGAGTGAGCTACTAGGCATTCTGCAGTTGCCTAGTAGATGCAGTTTATAATCTAATAGAATCTTTTTGCCTCAGTCATTACATACAGTGTATATGCTTTGATACTACTGCGTCCAACACTGGAAAACACCACAGAGTTATAACAAGAATGTCACATAAGCTTGGGCTGTGGCTACTTCTTCTTGCCTGTAGGCATCATATTTTTGAAAGACATATTACCCACTTCAACAAGATTTATCTTGGTAGTTAAATGTCTGGTCCAGACAATCAGCTCTTTAAACACGTAACATCAGTCTGATATGATCTTGAAAAAGATACAGTTCCATTAACAAGATACAGTTCTGCAGAGATGTAATAGATAATAGGATCTACAAAAAGGTTAAGAACAATTGCATTGTTCTTACTAATTTGATAAAGTTAATTTTAACAATTTTGTACAATCAAAATATGTAAAACTAATTCTTTTAATTTTAGGATGGTAAATCGAGAAAAGATCATGCTGCTCCGTTTCAGGTTAAAAATAATAATAATAAATATGAAAACAGATGATTAGTTATTTGTTTAATTGATGAATTAATCTAATTTTGTGTAGGACATGAAAAGGCAGATGAAGAGGTTCATGGATATAAATTTTCATGGAACTACTTCAGCACTAGAATCATTTGACAGACACAGCAGGTATCTTGATCCTGCCTTAGTAGTGCTGGCTTTTACAGATGAAAATTTCCAAGATATTGCCAAAGCGTTATACAGTACACTTCCTGCAAAACTAATAGTTTATCCACTTGAATGTGTTATAGTCAAAAAAAGAGCTTCTTCATTATCTAGATTTTTTACAAGATCAGCCTCAATGTCTTTGCGCTCTAGTAACTGAACAATCTTGGCTCATCTTTGATAAGAATAGACATGAAGAAAGAGTGAGTTGCAGTGGCTTAAGATTCCTTCACAGTTTTGGGAGTTCAACAATTTCTATCTTGAGTTTGAAATTATTATTAAATTCCTTGATGTGGTAAATGACTCATCAGAGAGGGCCTTAAAAGTAGTTAAAGAACTTATTGGAAAATCAACCAAAGATAAGAAAAGACAGAATTTGTTCTTGCCTAACCATGTTTACAAAAGAGGTAAGCGAGGAGCATAGAAAACAGATTTAGCATCAAATGCAACTAATAGTATTTTAAAACAGTAACTTGTTAATAATTTAATAAAAGTCTCATATTGTTTTAATTTTATTCTTCTTGCTCATCCTCCTGCAACTTTAAAGAAAGGTATTTCAATAGGGAAGAGCTAATCCACCTTACTTTAAATAATACTCTAAGTTTGATATCCAAAATAATATAGCATATTTTAATTGCTTATTTATAATTTGATTTAAGTGAATTTTGTAATAAAAAAGACTATAGAAATAGAAAAATAATTTTTTTGGTAAACTTTAATACTTTTTCTATAACTTTTTCAGTGTTAAGCAAAAAAAATGTATAGTAAGAGTGTCGTATTTTTTCGATATTAGTCATTCTGATTTAAATAATGTTTAAGGGTGGCACGCATGGGATTGAGAAATGTCAAAAAAGGGTAAAAAAAAAAAGTACTTTAAGGCCATATGCCATCCTTAAACTTTTTTTAAAAAGAAAAAAAATCTTTTATATAAAACAAGGATCTGCGTAGATTATTAAAAAACATTTGACTTTGAATAGATTCAATTGAATTCAATTAGATGGAAAAGATAAAGGAAAGAAAAAATAATTTTAACTTTTTATTTTTATTTTAAATGATATTTAGAGTAACATTTTGTATTTCAAACTAATTTGAACCAAGAAAATACAATGATAATCTACCCTAATATATATATACTGTTGCTCATGGAAGTTAGGTCACTTGAAATATTTTTATAAAATGAATAAAACATACATCATAGTTTATTTTTACAGTTAAAATTTTAAAATATTAAAATGTACATAAAATAATATTAATTTTACGTTTATTGTAATATTTTAAATATAATAAATAAATGTCATAGCAATTAAAAAAAAAAAAAAATGAATAAATTAAATAAACTTTTTGCCGAAAAAACCACCTTTTGCATTTTGGTATTCATTCAATTCCATTCTTTTTCTAGAATTATCCATAACTGGTTTTTGATGTTAAATATTAAATTCTTAATTTTCGATCCAGTTCATCCCATAGTAACTCAATAGAGGTCTAAACTTTATATATTGTCGACCTTATGGAAAACCATGACCTTTTTTAAATAAAATTTTACTTCCATGTTTTTTTAAAGTTTTTCCAATTGAGCTATTAACTAATTGTCTTAACTTAGATTTTACTTCAGAGTCACATTATTTTTTTGTGTAGCCTTCTGTAAATTATTTGAAATAATTTTTATACAGGCGTGAATCCTACTTATGTAACCCAAATAAAATATAAAAAAATGTTTTAGACATGTATATTAAGTATATAATAGGCGACTGACTGATATTTTTTAAAAATTAAAGTTGTCTTTTATTAGGACTGGTTGTGAAAGCACATAAGTAACTCTGTGCACTTCACTTTTTAAAATAAACACTTTTTTTGTGCAACTGTTCAGTTTTCAAAAAAAAAAATAATAATAATAACAATGAAAAAACTTTTTTTTTAACTGTGATAGATCTCCATTTGAAGATATTGTTTTATTGGATATTCATTATACATTCTACAATTTTTACATATCTGTTAGGGTCAACCAGGGTAAAATGGGTATAGAATTGAGATGGTTTTTGTTTGTAGTTGCACTGGTTGAACTTTAATTAATTTTACTAAATTTTTATTTCAAACATTTTACATTTAACCTATTTAGAATTAAAATCAATTTAGAGACAATATTTTTATTTTGCAATTTTTGAGATTGGGCCCATACCCATTTTACCCCATAGTATACCCATTTTACCCCAGGGTGCGAGGTAAAGTGGGTATACTATGGGGTAAAATAAGTAAGGGGTTCTAAATGTTTTAATAAAAATTATTAAAAATAACTGTACTTTTCTGAAATTTTATTCAAACTTAAACAAAATTGATAACTTGAAGCATAGGTCTGTGTGCTTCTGACTCCATAACGTTTGAGACTGAAATCACTGGCTGTTGATTGCTTTCCACTGGCTTGAAGTCTGAAACAATGTTGAACTGCTTCTTTGTTCAATGGATAGAGCCCACTACCTCTGAATGCACTTACTGCATTTTTCTCTGTTAATTGGTCATAGAGTTGCTTTACTAGGCAAGGAAAAATCTCCTTGGTTACTTTCTGGAGACGACTCTCTCTGAACCATCTCTTCAGAATGTCCTTCCATGCAAGCTTTAATGTTTTAAAGACCCCAACGTCCAGAGGCTGAAGAGCATGATTTGTGTTAGGTGGCAAATGTAGTATTATGATATTGTTTGCCATTGCTGGCTTCACTGTTCCATAAGTTAGATGACTGCCATGGCCATCATAAATGAACAGCATAGGTTTCTCAATAAAACGATAGAATACTCCTCAAGGAAGAAAAAGAACTATATTTAAATGAAATGTTTAAACCATGACTCAAAAACTGGGTCTTCCATTCATCCTGACTTTGTTGTTGCATAACAAGTACCTGGAGGTCCACCTCGCATCCATAGCTTATTCAGATATAGCCCTTTGTACACAATAAATGGAGGCAGATACCATCCTGAGGCAGATACTATCCTGAAACAGATACACAGAAAAGGACACTGCAATTGCTTTTCCTCCACATGCTGATTTCAGATAAGCAGTGCGTAATGAAACTGGCACAAAAACTTTAAAAGCAATAGGGTTTGTCCCTAAACCAGCTTTATCAAGATTAAAAATCCTGTGTGGTTTGTCAAGATCATTTTTAACTAATTTTAAGAAGATCATTTTTAACTAATACATTTTCATATATTTGAAAAAAGGCATTGACAACACTTTCTGTCAACCCTTCTGCCCTCGCTTTGGTTAAAAGTTCAGGCTTTCGTTTTGAAAGTTTCTCTTTCCATCTCTTTTCAAACCCAGTAATCCAGTAGTAGGGCAGTTGTCTTTGAAAGGATTAGGTATTCCTGTTTATTGAATGAAACACTTAACCACTGATATCTAGTCAGAACGATCCCATGGAAATCCACTATCAGCTAAATAGCACAGTGTGCAAACAATTAAGCGTTCCTCATCAGCAGTAAGAACAGGCAGTTGTCCAGAACCAACTCGCTTTGGAGTTTGAACTACGCATCTCCTTAAATTTTCATATGGAATCTTCTTTTTCATTGAAACTTCTTTTTCATTGAAACTTTTTAAACTGAACTTCCTTGTTCAATGATAATTCTTGCATTTTTCAAGTCCTCCTTTGTATAGTTGGGTTGTGTTTTACGGATAAAATTCCTCGGCATTTTAAATCAAATCAACAACTGTTGAAGGCCTGCTACAAAACAGAACAAATGAATTAATGTATATTCATTTCTACATTTAATTCATATTACATAATTATAAATGCTGCTAGATATCACTGTGACTGTGGCATTAGCTTATCTTTGTATTTGTTATATCCATTTTCCCCCATTCTGGTTTTTCAACTAATATTTAAAATTGTTTGTTTTTCATATTCCTGTTACTATTAACTAAAAAGAGGAATTTCTCCTTCTTAAAAATCTGTAACTTATGACTGTGTATGTAAAAAACATCATTTTTTACAACAAAGTTTTACCTGTTGGTGAAAGCACATGGAAACCAAAACCAAAATGGCAGCACACCCTGTAGAGAAGCAGCTCAGTAACAAAAATTCTAAAACTTATTTCAATACATTAATAGTGCATTTGTAACAAAATTAATAAACTGCTCTACCCATTTTACCCCAGCTGCCCATTTTACCCCGGTTGACCCTATATTAAATGAATAATCAGGTTTTTAATTGCTTTAATCAATTATTATTTAGTTATTCATATTAGCAAAGTTTCATTAAAAAAAGCATGAAAATGCATCAAAATGCATATAGTAGTATTTTGTCGTGTATTTACTTGCATAAAAGCTTTAGAGTTTTTATCAATTTTTTAATTGCAAATTGATTGATTTTAGTTATAATAAACTGAAAAAGTATAAAACTATATTTTGTTTTCAAAGTAACAGATTTTTAAAACTTTTTCCAAAAATGATCTTAACCATTAGACACCTTCAATTCTTATACAGTTGTTAAGTTCCTATGCTTTGGACACTGAGTTTAATAAATTTATGCGCAACAAACATGAAGTAATTTTATATATTTAAGTACAGAGTATTATAGTTTATGTTAGACCTCACCTAATTTGCAACTGAATTCTCTTTTTTTATATTTAGAAAAAAGAACCAGGTATAGCTCTTTTTCATCAAGTACTTTTAAGCTAACAATTATATTTATACTGCACATGTAATAGTTTATAAATAAACTATGTTTTTTATAGTTAAATTAATGAATAAGCTAAAAGTTATTTTTACAATTTTTTTTTTTTAGAAAATTTAGCTACTATTACAAAGATAGCTTCTCTATAAGTTTTAAAATATATTCCAATAGTTTTATTCATAACATATTATTTTACAAATGTGCACGATAATTACTTAAAAACTAAAATAAATTTTTAGACTTGATATATTTATTATTGCCATAATTACCGAAAAAAATTTAAACCTTGTTAGTCATTTACTTTTTTGTAAAATGTGTATTTTGTATTATATATTTAATTTTTTTTAGTTAAATGATGATTTGAACAAAGTTGAGATAGAAAGGTCTGTATCTAAGTTAAAATCTCCTTCAACAGTTGGGAAAAAACCTTCTAAAAAAATAGAAATAATCCCTACTATTAAAAAAAATACAAAAATGAAATTACGTGGCCAAGAAACTGATGAAGTCACTACAATTGGTAAGTATTATATTATATTATTACATACTAAATTTACGTTTCAGTTAATGTTTAGTAATTTACGTTTCAGTTAATGTTTACGTTTCAGTTCAGTTCAGGTAATGTTTAGTAATTAAGAGGATTAATCATAAAAATTGTTTTTTTTAGATGATTAAAATTTAATGATAAAGAAACACCACATTATGTATATTTCCTTTTATTCTTTTTTCGTTAATTCCAAAGAATTTTTTTCAAACTTTTAATAATATCTATTTTTTAAATAGTATGTATGTTGTAAATTTAGAAATAGGTTTAATTGTATCCACATTATACTTTCAGAATTTCGGGGTTTTTTTGTCTTGGTTCTCAGTCCATACAAGATAATATGTTTCCGAGACAAGATCTTGTACAAAACTAAGATTAATCTAACCGAGACTTTTCAAAAATGAAAAAAACTATGGAAACATTGAGAAATTTGTGTTTTATAATTTTTATTATTATTAATGAACCATAAGATTTCAACATTTATCAAATTAATGTTCATTCTTGAAAAAACTTTTCAAAAGAATTAAGTCATTCAAAGTTGCAGCTGTTGCATTCTCTCCTATTTTTTACTACGATGGTTGCTTGAAATCAAAAAATTTTGCTCACATCGAATCAATGTTGGCTTGATTAATTTTGACACATGTTCTAGTTTGCATAACTTTTCTGATTTGAATCCAGTGGTAACTTAGCTGTTGAGTTCTTTAACAGTGAAATCATTAGGTTCAATTACCTGGTTTTGTTCTCTTACATTGGATTTTCTTTTCTGTCTTGGTGGGTTTTTTGAGCTTTGAGACAAAGTTTAAAGTTGTTTGACATTTTAAGGAAGCAAGAAAATGTGACTTAGGATCATTGGGAGCTTGTTCGACTGTTTTCTGAGCTTCAGATGCAATTTTCATAACATTATTACTGTCATTAGTACTGGATGGAGTCAATCTTTAAGTCAGAGTCTTTTAGCATCCATAGTCATTTTAGATGGTTGAAGAGTTGCTACTGATTAAGGAATGCTAGTCTCTAAATAATCATGCATTTATGTTCAAATGCTTTAAGAGTTTTTTTTATAGCTGACATTTTCACGTTATTAAAAGTTTGTAACATTTTCAGTGCACTGTTCTATCGAGTTCTGACACCAAGAACCAGCAATTTAAATTTTATTCCAAGAGATTGTGCATTTTCTTCAAGCTCTTTGACTTCTTTAATTTGTATTTGAATTTTTTTACAATAATTCAAACATCTTCAAGAGTTTTAGTACTAGACAAAGCAGGATCGTACTCCAATGTTTCCTCATCATTGTTTTCTTCATCAGAATTTGTGTCATCTTTATTTTGGTCTTCATTTTCCTCTTTGTTTGTTGCTGAACTAAGCACGCTTGGTGCGTTGCAAAAACTCTGAGATGTGCATGCTAATATCTCTTTCTTTGAATCTGATTCTTCTTTGCTCTAGTCTGATAATGAATCCTTATTTGCTCGATTGATATCTGTAATTATCTTTTATGTTTTAGTATGTGCGTCACACAAAGATGGATTCCATGATCATAACAAATTTAATGAAGTTATTGTGAGAGCTGGCCGCATTTAGTGCAAACACTTGCCCCATCCACAGTTTGACCAATGCAATCTTGGTCAGGATCAATGTTGAAGGTCATTAATTGATGATTTTGCAACCTCAAAAAGGTTTTAACATCTTATTTTTTTCCCATTTCGATCTTACCAAGATTTTAATTGTAATTGTTTGGTCTAAAAATATGTTCATAACTTTAATTTGTTTAAATGCTGTCTCATCACTCACATAGGAAAATTTTCCTCCATTGTATTTTATCAGCATTACTTCATCACTTGGTCCTTCACTTTGTCCTTCACATACGCTGCTGAACACATACGCTTCATCGCTTTGTCCTTCACATATGCTGCTGAACTTTAAACTATCTGACAAACTCTCTAACATTTTTGGGAGCCTCAACCTTTGTGTAACTTTCAATCAGCTTTTGTACCAAATCCAATATTAGATGCAAGCTTAGCAACAATTTTGAATTATAAAAAAAAAGTTAATCATTATTAAGTGAATTTGTGTTTGATTGAGGTTGCATTGATTTTTTAGATATCACAGCTAAAGCAGAATAAACATGCAATTGCTATGCCAAATATCATAAAATAATTTTTTTTTTGAATAAGTTAAATAAATACATACTTTTTAGTTTATTAGTAGTACGTTTATTGTCATTTAATTTATTATATTTTTACATATATTTGTGACAAATATCACATTATCAACAGAATCACAAATGAACAAAAACGTTGCAATTGCAACTTACACATTTTTAAAAATAATTAAAACCAAGATTACTGAAAAATATTGAAAACCTTCAAAATTGGCGCTTTTTATTGTATTTTCATGTATTTTTTTGAAAAAAATACATGAAAAATAGATCCTCGTGAGACAATTGACAGGGTTTTGGTGTAATGAAGTACATTTACTTTGTTACTTTTTGCAGTACTTTTACATGTAGCGAGGTATGTTAACCCCACAGTATTTTTACTTTTACTTTTGTTAATGTTAAAAATTTTTTTACTTTGTAACAAGTTACTTTTAGAAAAAAGTACAAAGTTCTTCATGGCAATGTATTTTTTGATATTATTTGTGAAATGTTTTGTATTTTTATTTATAGAAAATAGAATTTAGTGTTGGTTTTTGTTTAACATTTATTTGTATAAATGTTAAACATTATTTAATTATTACAACTAGTTATATTATATTAAACTGCGTGTAGTTTTCTCGCATTTCTCTATTGACTTTAGCGCTACAGCTTTTATTCCATTTAAACGAGAACTCCTTGTAAACGAGAACTCCTTGTGCGAAATTTCCAAGGAAATTGCATAGCAATCATTATAGAGAGTTTCTCATATAGTTCTCCAAAGGAAATTGCTTATTTTGCAATTGGTAATTATTATTCTCAACCAGTATTAGAAATTTATTTAGGTTTTCTAGATTAATTTATTTAGATTGTCCAAGGAAATTGATTTTATAACAATCATTACGTGCTAAATCATTACAAAGTACTACCTACATTGTAACTTAAAAGAACTTTCAACATATTATACTTTTTTTCTTTAACTTAAGTATTTTGGTTTAGCAGTACTTTTTACTTTTACTTTGTTACTTTTTGAGTTAGTACTTTTACTTTTCACTTAAATATTTTTAAAAAGAAACAAACCCCTGACAATTTATGCTGAGAACTTTTGTTTACTCAAAAATGTTTCGACTCTTCTCTCATTATAAAAAAAGTGCCAATTTTGAAGGTTTTAATAATTCAGACCAAGACTTTTGAGACAAGCGAGATCTGAAAGTATAATCTGTATATAAGAAAGACATTAAGCTAATAGTAATAAAGTACTAAATAATACTGTTCGACTCTATTAAAGTCTTAAAGAGATATATTTTCCTGCCAAAAATTTAAAATATTATTTTTATTTAAAGATTATGGTTTTTGTGGTATTAGTGTTGTGAAATTACACACCTAGAAAAAAGGCCAATTTGTTTGCCAGAGTAGAGCTTTATATATCAAACCTTATTGGAATAAGTATGTGTCTTTTATTGGGTGTTAATTCTACCCTTAACAGGAGTATATTAATCCACCTAAAATTAAAAGATCTTAGGTTTAGGGTAAAGTTGTTTATCTTCATGGGTATTTAGTATATAGTAACCCTGGTAAAAATATATACCCTAGCTTAATAAGTTTTATTTTTAGCCAAAAGTTTAAAATTCTGCCGTTTGTTTTGGGTAGAGTTATTTTCATGTAACACATTATGTCAGTCAATATGAAATAGGAGGAAGTTGCCTATGATGGCATACTCAACTTTGATGCTTCAAAAATAAATATCAGGGGCATTTCTTGGTGATGTCTGCTATGTCGTTGTATGTACCCCAAAAAAATAATACTATGTCTGTGATGTGGTTGTATATACCCCAAATCTTGGTGATGTCTGCTATGTTGTTGTATGTACCCCAAAAAAATAAAAATAAAAGTTTTCAATTTGATTATATTGTTGAAAAAAGTTTTACTATATATAACTATTAAAACCAAACTACAGCAAAAATTAAATAAATTATGTACGGTTAATTATCTGAATTGGTTGGAAAAAAATTAAAAACTGGAAAACATAATAGTATTTTGGTTTCATAATTTTATGATTATTAAAATCAAGCGTTTGTGACAAAAAATTGGAATGTCTATATCCAGATTTTAGATTATTTAGTCATAAAAGATCCTTTATGAGAATCATGAGAATTATTATCCTCTTTGTTTTCAAGAGTCTTATTTCTTATTTTTCAAAGAGCCTTATTTCTTAGTTATAAAAGAATTTTAAATGATTTTTCTGCCCTTTTCTACACAATCTGTGCGTTTTTTTAATACTTAAAATTCCCATATATACATAAAGGAAAAGCTTGTTTATTTAGTGTTTTAATAAAAACTATTTCTGATTTTTCTAAGGTTGTTATGAACTGTGAAATCCTAGCATGGGTACTTAACAAAAGTTTTTTATTCATGTGGTTTTCTGTCTCAAAGAGTGTCTTTACATATCAATAGAACATTTAATCATGTAACCTCTGTTACTGCTTCTTCTGCTAAAGTTAATAACAAATTTTGATTTTATTGTTGCACTGTGTATAACAATACATGTTTTTAATATAACTTTTTTAATTACACGATTGTGCAAGCAAGTAATAATGATATTTTTTATAGTTTGAATCTTATTCAAGCATTAAAAAGTTTTGTCCCTATACTTAGAAATACCAGGTATACCGGTATGAAATGAGCGTTTTTTGTGAAAATAAAACACTAATTATTAATGGGAAAGTATAAAACATTTTATTCAAAGTATTGGCCATTGTTTTCTACACATTTTGACCACCTTTCTGGCAATTTGTGGATACCACGCCAATAAAATTGTTCATTTTTTAAAGCAAACCAACCAGACACC